ATTATGCGCAAAAGATATTTTATGTCAAATACAATGTATGGAAAGTAATTTAAACTGCTATGTTTTCACCCTGAATGGGATATCGTCAATTATCCCTTTTAGAATTTTTAATATGAACTACATAACATATGTAGATGAAACGTACATACCATAAATCTTGCCTTCTCAGAAATATAGTTTGGCTAATAAAATAAAATTGGTCAAGGAATTCCAGGCCTCTAAAAACTATTCCAGTTTGGAGGCACAACCAAGCATTTCAATGAACACCATTAAGAAAAATTAATTCAGGTAGGTAGCATCGGATTTTTTTTAAAGTGGGAGGGGGGATAGAACAGTTAGAATAAAAATCAACTAGCTCAAAGAAATCTGACAAGTGAAATAGGTTCCAATATCTTTCACTACTAAATTTTATTCATTTACTACATTTACTGCCCAACTCCAAATTTCACTTTCTAATTAGCCCGAGCCAATGCTGATAACCTACTTGCAAGATTTTTTATATTATTTTCAAGGGGTCAGAAATACTGTGGTTCATATGTAAAGAATATAATTATATTATTTAGTAGTATTCTGGTTTTGGCATTCGGTATATTGTGCAGATTTATACATGATATTCTGTGGAAAACTTTTTGTTGTTTTGAATGTATCTAATAACCATTTTGATTGTTCAAATTATATCATTTGTTTGTGTTGGTTATTTCATTTTGGCGCAACATGGTTTCCACACTTCTTTATCCATAGTCGCTGACAGCTGTAGAAGTTCACCCAACCGAAAATGTCCATTGAAAGACAATTGCACGTGATTATTCCTCGGTACAAAAAGCACAACTCTAAGGTGCTCTCAAAATTGACAATCCCTAACTCACGTATTTGTAGTAAAAACGTAGTAGACCATCATGCTTTTCGGTTCATTGACGAGATTGGACAATTGTTTGCTGTAAACATGCGAGACAACGTGATCATGAATATTTCAATAAGAGGCGGTTTCTTATCCGACACGGAGAGAAAATAATTTTTACCAAATAATATTTCATAACTTTTAAAAGTGGTCGAGGGGAATTGTCTTATTTGCAGAAAGTATATAACTTATATAACTTGATGAGACACCACAGATATCTATTACTTTTCAAATAAAACACTTATACGGCATATATAGCTTTAAATAGTTTGGTTTGTTTATTTAAAGACCTGGTTTCCAAACGCTATTGTTATATGTATTGAAAAGTTCCGACTTCCATTTTGATTGAGGAAACAGTTGTCTAAGAAATATAAAGAGAAAACTAGAGCAAAGCTCGTTGCAAAGCAACGATATCTTTCCACAAGTGACGTATAACAAATGAAAGCAAATGAGCTAAGTGGTCCTTTTTATAATTTTGATTTTGTATTTAAACCTTCAAAAATAAGCTATTTTTGGCTACTTCCGGTCACTTCCGGTTTGATTCCGGAAGTGATGTCAACGGACAGAAAATGAAGTTTTATGCTTCCAGATACATATGTTACACAAAAATATGTCAAGAACGGCAAAAATATGACTGTATTTGCTGACAAGTTCATTGTATGACCGGAAGTGACGTCGCCGGACGATTTTGACGACTTTTTAACAGATTAAACTTGACTTTTGAACAACTTTGCTTTTAAGACGTATAACAAATTCTCAATACTTTTTGAGATATAACTGTTTTTGTTTCTAGGCCCTTTATTTTGGGCCAGCCCTATATAGCATATCATTTTATCATCATGTAATTCTACACTTCTTTTGTTCTATATGTCTTAACAAAATATTTTATGTGAAAAGATATCGAAGAATTTAAGGTGTTATAAATTTTAAAATTCTCGACATGCCCATTTTTGGACCATACATATGTCATTTTAAGCACTTCCGGTAAAAATGTTTGGAAATTTTTTTGTCACATCTAAGATTTCTATCATTGCTCAATAAACTCAAGTTTCTATCTTAAGCCGTTTTTGAGAAAACTCGCAGACAAACTGACCCCCTGAAAATCACTAAATCGCAAAAATCTCAAAACCGGAAGTGACGTCATCAAAACAAAAAAATATATATCAGCTTTGTTTGATGCTTTATCAGTCCTGAAAGTTTCATGAAAATCGAGCGAGCCGTTTCTGAGAAATCGTGTACACAAAATCGGTAAGAAAAAAAACAATAAAAATAATAAAAATAGTGGAAAAGAAACCTAAGAATAACAAGAAGGTCTTCCGCTGAAGACGGAAGACCTTAATTAAAGTATTTAACCCCAACATATAATTACACAATACATATAATAAATCAGAGCAAAAACAGACCTTTTAAACATCGGAGGAGGGATAAGATGCCATGTAGGATTGAGTATCGACCGGTCATTTCCGCCGTGTATTCCTTGTCATGATCGGGAAATAACATAAAAAGAAAATGTCAGCAAGCATTTGACTTAATAATTGACTGTATTTGCTGACAAGTTCATTGTTTCGACCTGATCGAACGATTATTTAATATCTTTTTATAAATAATCTTTTGGCAAATTATCAACGTATCAAGCTTAAGTTTTCAACATTTCTTAAACTGTTTTTGTTTTATGGTCCTTATAAATTTTGTAAGCACAGACCATATAGCATAAATTTTATCACATCAATCCACGAACTTTCTGATAACAGAATACATTTTAAATGGCAGACTTTAGACATTAAAGAGATTTACATATTATAAGCATTTCCGAATAATCAAAATCAACTTATCCGATTTTAATATCATATGTCATTTTAAATCTTAAATATGTTTGGAAATTTTTTTTTAATGCAAATTTAATCATCTGTAATAGAACAGAGGATGGATCCTGCTATAAACGCAGGTATAAATTTCTCCAGATAAGATAATCTGTGCAAATATCATATTTGTCCCAACAAGTATCTAAATCGTCGAAAGAAAAATTACAAGGATATTGAATTTGTATTGATGAATATTGCAAAAATTGGCCGTACAAATGCACGAGCTTGCGTGTGTATTTGTACAGTCAACTTTTGCCAATTTTCACCGATACAAGTTCAATAAATCCTTTATTATGTAGCTTAAATATCGTTTTATTAAAAAAAAATGGGAACCAAAAACCTCAAATAAATAAGAATTTTCAGTATCGGTATTTAGATTCACGTCTGTCCTGCAAGTGTTCAATCTTGCATCATTTCAAAGACCCTGCCTAACGTTATGATCTACTTTTTGAGCTATTGTTAAGGTTTATATGTACTAAATTATGAAATAACAAATTCAATTTTGCGTGAAAATAAACACTTCTACTTCTTACCTAAAAGCTACTATCTATTATAAATCTGCCTCCGAGATGTTCATCAGACGACATTTATTGTTTACAACGGGGCATTCGATATTGAACGCCCGTATTTGGAATGCTTCATGCTTACATACTCATATATGTTTTACAAAGTAAGCGTTCAATAAATTGAACGCTAAATTTTTCTGGATTTTTTGTAGTTCTGTTTATTATAGACTATGTATTAATTATGTAATAAATTATCTTATTCTTTTAAACGAATTTCTAATTCCTTCAAGCGGTGCGGTGCGTGCTTTAATCATTTCTAAAGATCTAGCAGTGTCGTATTATACAAGTGCAAGTAATATGCCATTATTATGGTGGCATATTTCTGCCCCCTTCATGCAAGATAAATTATGTTAACATGCAAGAAAATTATGTATACATGCAAAATAATTATGTATACATGCAAGGTAATTAAGTTGACATGCAAGTTACAAATCTTTTAAGGTAATCTGATTTAAATATGGGTAAAATTCCGTGCTGACGCCCGTATCTGACATCGTAGATGCAAGATGCAATATAATTACGAGAAAATGCGATTTAATTATAATAACATGTCAGAAAATTATTTTGACATGCACGATATTTATGTCAACATGCGAGTTAATTATTAGACATGCAACTTATTTTTGTCAACATGCAACATACTTATGTTAACATGCAAGATATTATGTACACATGCAGGATATTTATGTACCATGCAACTTATTTATGTCAACATGCAAGATAATTACTTGCATATCAACTTACATATCTTGCATATTAACATAATGATCTTGCATGTTGACATAAATAAGTTGCATGTTGACATAATTATCTTGCATGCTAACATAAATAAGTCGCATGTTGACATATTTATGTTGCATGTTGACATAAAAAAAGTCGCATGTCTACATAATCATATTGCATCTAATATGTCATATACAGGCATTAGTAAGTGTACTAATGCCTGTACTAATTACCCATATTTAAATTATGTTTTCTATTAAGATAGGTAACTTGCATGACAACATAATTAACTTGAATGTTGACATAAATATGTTGCATGTCTACTTAATTGCATGTTAACATAATTTATCTTGCAAGTAGAGGCAGAAATATACCACCATACATTATATATTACCTAAACGAATTAGTTTAAATTTACCTAGTATGGGTGCATGAAGAATTTAAATGCATTATGTCCTTGAGACATGTTTATACCTGTGCTGTTTCGGTTGACCGATGCTCTCAGAAAATTAAATAACCATTTATTATTTCATGCATGTACTAGCCTAAAATTGTCGTAGAAATCACACAATATGTAGATCAACACGTTATTAATTTCAATTAATTTAAAAGTAATATGATTAGCAGTGATCCATCTCAAAACTCTATTATGAACAATACATATATGTTAGGAGAGAGTATTAAACATGGACATCTGGAAATTTCGGAAGTGGTAATTAGGTACCAAGGAGGAGTAAGAATGCCCTGTTGACCTGTCACACCCACGTGCGTTTTGATCAGGTTGATGCCAGTATAATATAGAAATGAACATCGTAGAAACTGGACAATTTCTTTTTTAAAATGTTATTCTTATCACATATTTTTAAATAAATGAAAATATATATACCAATCAAGGCATACACATTTTTGTTTGTAACATCTTTCTTTAAAGAGTAAAATGTACAAACTTACAAAAGAAATGTCGATGCCGGCTACCTTCTCCTTGTTAAACAAAATCAACAATGTAATATTACACAAGTCTACTTTCGATATAGTATCTTTACGATAGGTTAACGTATTAAAGATAAAGAAATGCAGTAAAAAGTATGAAACGTGAAGAGGGTAAACAAGTGAATTTTGCATTGAGGCAAACTGAACTTTCTTAACAACTTCTTCAACATGTGGAGACAAGGTTAAATGTTAAAGTCACATATAATAAGTCAAAATCATGTTTCTTTTAAAATATCGATATTAAAAAGTAAAAGAATGTAAAAAATTAAAAGTATTTAGGATATACATGTATATCTTAATTGATTCGATGAACAAGAGCATGCTCTACGTATGAATAATTTCTGAAACGAGGTAAATTATTGACAAAGAAGTTGATGAAACAAAAATATCAGCTGTCTCGCTTAAAGTCAACATTTCGTAAGTTCTATGGTTGATACAATGACCTTGAAAGCAATAGAATTTATCATTGAGTAAAAATGTTAACTGACGTTTTTTTCATACTTATTGTTAGTCCATGATTATTTATACACCGAATTGACGTTTGGTTTCCCTGTTATTTCCCGAACATGACAAGGAGCAAACCGCGGGTGTGACCGGTAGGCAGGGGATATTTACTTCTCAATGGCACCAGATTCCACCTAAAATGTTTCCGAGGTGTTTGCTCTGCTCCAATTTGTATTGTTTTATGGACCTTTCATCTTGAATACTATTCGTTATCTCCATGTTTCCTTAAAATTTTAAAGTAAGCACAATGTAATATGTAATAAAATTATTTGTTTTGTCGATGTGTGAAGTTCATTCCATTCGACGAATCAGTGATTCCATTTAATTGAATTCAATTACTTCATTTTAAAATCAACATGTTTTGTATCTATGGAACACACTTGACGACCATGTAACGTTGATAGAACATCAAGACTAAGACGTCAAAAAAAAAAACAAAACTACTCTTATGCATTTCATATGGTATCATCCAATGCCCATATTTAGCGTAAACTTGTAAGGAGCAGTTTATGTTCTATTAATTTTTTAGGTCACCTAAGTCACTCAGATGACCTATTGGTATCCGTTTTTGTATGTCAGCTGAAGCTGGTATTTATTCATAGTGCGCATTATTTTTATCCCCGTTGTATATTCCATTCAAATATTTTGTTTTCTTCAAGAAACAGTCTCAAAAAAATTGGTCTCTTTTCTTCCAAATAGACATAAATATATGCCCACCTTTTATCAGGTACTTGCATGTTTTAAATGTCAAAAATATTTTTGATTGATAATTTATGTATGCAAGTACATATAAATTTGTAATATACATGTATAAGATAATACCAGCAAAATCAGGTGTCCCTCATTTATGAAGTCCAAAGACATTTTTAGCTTTTTCTTCGGTTCATTTGCGTCCCATCTCTTATTGTATATTATTTGCTACGTGTAGTAATTAATGTTTATTCAATACATACTAAATAAAACATCAATTTTTAGCTCACCTGAGCAGAAGTCTCAAGTGAGCTTTTCTGCTCAAAATTTGTCCGTCGTCTGTCGTTGTCGTCCTCGTTGTCATAAACTTTTCACATTTTCATCTTGTTCTCAAGAACCACTGGGCCAATTTCAACCAAACTTGGCACAAAGTATCCTTGAGTGAAGGGGATTCAAGTTTGTTCAAATGAAGGGCCACGCCCTTTTCCAAGGGGAGATAATCATGAATTTGTTAAAAATTAATGGCATTTAAAAAAAAAATCTTTTTCTCCAGAACCGCTGGGCCAGGAAAGATGAAACTCATGTGGAAGCATCCTCAGGTAGTGTAGATTCAAGTTTGTTCAAATCATGACCCCCAGGGCAAGGGTGGGGCCAAAATGGCCGACCCAAGTTTTACATAGGAATAAATAGGAAAAATCTTTAAAAATCTTCTTCTCAAGAACCACTAGGACAGGAAAGATGAAACTCATGTGGAAGCATCCTCAGGTAGTGTATATTCAAGTTTGTTCAAATCATGACCCCCGGGGCAAGGGTGAGGCCAAAATGGCCGACCCTAGTTTTACAAAGGAATATATAAGAAAAATCTTTAAAAATCTTCTTCTCAAGAACCACTAGGACAGGAAAGATGAAACTCATGTGGAATCATCCTCAGGTAGTGCAGATTCAAGTTTGTTCAAATCATGACCCCCTGAGCTAGGGTGGGGCCAAAATGGCCAAGTTTTACATAGGAATATATAGGAAAACTCTTTAAAAATCTTCTTCTCAAGAACCACTGGACCAGGAAATTTGTTTTTTACTAAATCTTTATTTCAGTGAGCAGAGGTAGAAGAAACATTTTCATTGATTTTTGAGTTTGTTATCTCCAAATGTAATAATTGATATTTGTCTTTACTTCTCATGTGCATAATGGTAATGTCTACTGTCTTTTAAATTCGATTCTTTATGTATAGGCTATTTATCCGTGGATATAATAAAACATGTCATTAAAAATTAATGTGTGCAAATTATATAGCCCTAAATGAAATCCAAGGGAGTACAGTTACTTTTATATGTACATGTTGCCAAAATCAATATGATTAAATTCTAAGGAATATATACAATTGAAATTTGTCGAAGCTCAATGCTGCCAAGAATACCTGTATCAAATAACACAGAGTGAGTTATTCTTGTCCTCGGAGAAAGTGTGCTTATACTGAGGTTTGTTCCGCCTGACTGACAACTGTACATTTGATTGTTACGATTTGACATCTCTTTAGTTTTTCTTGTATCAAGAATGGGCATACATAAAGGATCAATAATTTCAGGTTTTGCGAGTGTAGAATTCAAATTCTTAGACCCTATCTCCAGACATTCTCCTTCGAATCCTAAATAAAACACATTTGCAAAACCATCAATTAAATATTTAGTTTCATATTCATCATAACCAGATAACCAGTGAGCAAGACTATGTTTTCTTGATTGGAGTAGGGCCCTTGTTTGGAAGATATGTTTGCTTTTGTTTGGGTAGATTGTTTATTTGTATTGCTTGTTTGGTTTTGGTATTTTTGCATGACACGAAAGGGATGCTTAATTGGTTTTGTGCAGTGAACAAATGGGTGAGCCCCGGAACAGTTATAGCATCTATGTTGAAAACGACAGGACATTCCTGCCTGACAGTGTGTACCTGAATGATATTGGAAGCAGTCACCTTTGGGAATTGATCTATACTGTACGTCCTTACTACCTTTTACTTAGTTTTGTTGTCTGGCTTGTTATCAGTCTGGCGTTGACATACAACTCCATGTGGACATCCCCCCAGGCAACTTGTCCCTGAGCGACTAGTGTTCTAAAGTTGCTATCATAATCTTTCCATGTAGCCTTTGCATCTGCTATTTCCCTGCCGGCTTCTAAATGCTTTGCCAATTTGGCTTGTTGACCAGTATATTTCATGCAATAAATTGCTGAAAATCTGTTTCATGCTGTAAGCTAGTCATGCATGGAAGAGACAGATGTGTCATATAATGAATCGTTGTCCACCTGGTGGATTGTCAACGTACCGGGACTGTCACCATCTTCAACTTGTAGAGAAAACTTACCTTTCTTTTGATTGTCCTTAGACAGCAGTTTTATGAAGTCAACGTACTGGTTTGACAAAATTTTGGACTTCAGTTTATCAGACACCCTAGCATCCATTGGAACTGCCGTACTGAGACTGGGACTCTTACCTGCTATTTTTTCAGTATAGGTAATGACCAAGGCTTCAACCGACTGTTCAATTGCTTGGTCATTGGATGCACATACAGCAGCCGAATCTTAACCACAATTAACAGAATAAGTTAGGTTTGGATTATTAATGACGGGGCCCCCATAGTATTTTTACTAATTCTCCCCTGACTTTTTGCTGTGGTGCTGCTGGTCACATTGCTAATGAGCGTTGTCAACTCCTTTCTGATTGTCGCAGTGACCCACTGTGTTACTTGTCTAGTGATCGTTTCCAGGTCGTCAGGGATAGAGGTGTAGCTGTCGCAACTGGTTCCGTATTTGATACATGTACCCTTCGTCTTTTGTTGTGTCGGGAGACAGGGATTGGGTACTGCTCTATCTTTGGTTGATTTTCTCTTTGGTGGCATGAATATAATTGGTGGATAGGTTACTGAAATACAAATAAATTGCCTTTGGTAAGTGTATATAGTTGTCGTAAAAGTCTTTCACTTGGGTTCACGTCAAATCATTGCTGACGCAAAATAATCCCGGAAAATTCCCTTCCGATTCGGGCATTTTGATACGAGACTGGAGCTGACTTTTTTATGAGATGAAAAACAACATGTAAACTTCCTGTATCGACCAGATTTATTAAAAATTAGGGCGTGCTGATTTTTCTGATACTGTCATGTGTGGGGAGTGATAAGGTCCTGGACTAGATTTTCAATCACCTGCTCGACTTCGACCGAAACAAACTTGCGTGCCTTGCGGAATGGCTATATATTTTGTGGTACTAAAATCTTTATAAAGAATCGTTTTACAAGATCTCAAATAGAAACGTCTCAGAAATTTGTTCTGAATTATACATCTACTCAAACTTGCAAATTTTCAGTAAGAATACATAGCAGAAATCAATACTGTTGTACAACCAATATATATAGTTCCCTTCTATTGACCACTTTAAATAGAAGGGTAAGTATGTAAACATCCGGTGACTATAAACCAGCAAATGAAATGAGCAAGCATTAAAAATTTTGGAATGTTGATCTGTAACTAATATACATTTATTATGATCCTGCGAGAACAGTATACACGGGTTTTAAATTATATTTGTTTATTTATTTATTTATTTATTTATTAAGTATCTATCATTAATAATTTTTTTAAAATATTAGTATTATTTCTTTACATATTTTCATATTTATTATATTCTTTTTCAGTATTTTTATTCTTTATGATCTTATATAAATTGCATTGATGTAAATACAATAGGATATGCCCCAGAAGCCCAATAAGCCCCAGAAAGGCATACAAAATTAAAATTAATCAAAATATCCGAGAAAAACCCCAGTAACTTATATAATGTGTCAATTCTGTTGAAATTAAATAAGCGTCGGGGAAGGCGTACAATAACGTATTTCCGTAATAAAACAAGTGAATAATGCTACAATGTAATTAATTCCGAACAATGAGACGAGCTTCAGAGAGGCATAAAAAAAATATGTAATATATCTCGAAAAAACACAACACAAGTGAATTGTGACAATTCCCGTGCAATGAGATGAGCCACAGGGAGGCGTAAAATAAAAAATACATCTCTGAAAAAAAACACAAGTAAATTGTGTTAATTCCCGTGCAATGAGATGAGCCACAGGGAGGCGTAAAATAAAAAATACATCTCTGAAAAAAAACAAACAAGTAAATTGTGTTAATTCCCGTGCAATGAGATGAGCCTCAGAGAGGCGTAGAATAACAAGAGGCCCATGGGCCTAATAGGTCACCTGTGTATCATGCAACAACTTTCCAACAATTGATTTTGATTCATGTTTTAATCCAGAGGCAATGAAATTCACAATTTTGAAAGAGGTACCATTGTTTAACATAATTATGCATTCAGTATGCTAACATTGGTTAGATATACCCAGAGGTACATGTAGATCACAGTAACAATGAGAAAATGCGTTTCCATTTTATCATTATCATTTGTGCACCCAATCCCACAGGAACCACTGACCCTGGGGCCACATCTTTCAAAATTTTGGAAATTTTATAAATTTTATTTCATCATGTTGTTGATTAAAACAAAATTACAGATTTCAAAGCATTAAATCATTTTCAGACCGCCCTCCCCCAAAGTACCTCTGTCCCAGGGGCCAGGAAATTAAGCATTTTTGGAAGAAGCAGCGTTCTTCGTCACAATTTACAATTTTGGAAGAGGCAGCTTTATTCAACATAACGATGTACTTTGTTAGTTTTAATACTCAGGAGCAAAGAAGAAGACTTTCAAAGAAATAATTCATTTTGTACTATATAATCTTTATAGCCCCGCCCTAGCACTAGAACCCCTGACTCTGGGGCCATGAGATTGATTGAATTTTTTACACGCACTATGTTTGACTATTCGAAGGCGCCAGTTGTGATTTCCACTACACAAAATTACAGAGTTAAAAAACCTGCTCGTCTTTTTATGATCATTCCAATGAACCTTTGCATTCACAAAACATAATATGGTGTCAGAACTGACAGAAGGCTCGTAAATATGGATCTTAAAGGCATCCATACGCCATGCATGCACTGGACATAGACAAATTCAGTCGATAGCTGGAAAGCATTCCAACAACATGTGCAACTCATCTTCGACGGCCCCTTGAACCCCTACTAATGTGTTTGGAACCTTTTGTTTTTCGGTGTTCTTTCAATTACAAGACCCGAAGAGATCAGAGTAGCTCTGGCAGTGGCTCTGGCGAGAGATATCGAGACTACAGCGGGAAGTGACTAGCACCTGGGGATATGGTAAACAGAAACGTTATGTTGCGTTTCTGTTGACCTCACCCTATAATTTCTGTAGAAATGTACTTCAATCGATCTACAGGAATTTTACGCTTGAAAAAAAGGGAAACTTGATGGCGATCAGAAAAGGCACAAAGACCATTTTCCCATCCATTTCATATGTGAAAATCATTTTTTAAATTCTGCTATTTTCATGCTCACAATGACAAACCATACTTTGTTGAATAAAAGTGGAAGTCCGGGGATTTTAAAGTTATACAGCAAAGCTATCTACTCTATATTAATTTCAATTGTTGTACTAACGATGAAAACAATTGTCAGGTGGATTCTCTGGCCAAAACACTTGATCACGAGTACGCAGCACTGTTAACTGGTTAAGGTCTACTATGAGATATCAACGGAAAATAGACCTGCAAAAAAGGGGGATTTTTTTAAAAACTGAATTTATTTTAATTAAGCTGTTTTATTATCACAGAGCTTAAATACTTATGGAAATAGCATAGTACAACCCACTCTATACTGTATGAAGTTTGGTCCCATCGATGGACAGCCACGTGATGAATGCTTAGTTCGTGTACTGAATTTAAGTCATTAACAAATTTCAATATCGCAAGGGCATACAAGGGCTTTTCATTAAATAGTGAGACTTTTTCAGTAAAATCAGAAATAGCCTATTATTCTTTTTATTTTAGTAACATTCCTTCAAAATAATTCCCTTTTTAAAAAAAAAAAACATCTTTGAAGTCGTTTTATCAAGCTTTGGTACACGCTTCTTTACTCCGAAAGAGGTATACTCTTTAAACACTGATACACAGCTGAACCTTATGGAGAATGAAAATGGAAACTCCGTCCACATAGCATTTTTTTTATTAAGGGACTAAGAAAAGTCCCTTGGTGATAAATCTAATGTATGAGGCAGGCGATTCAGCTGCTGTTTTCAATTTTTACAAGAGAAATCTTGAGTGTATATGTAGTGTGTGCTGGAACATTATAATGCAAGAGATGGATCCACCCTCATTCAAGTGTTTGGTCTTCTGTTTTTGAAACGATTTTGTATCTCGGTTTTTTTTTTTTTTCGCATAAACAGCTTTAGTTACAATTTTGCCTATTTTTAATGGAATCTGAGCGAATATCCCGTTAAAATAGAAAAGGATTGCATAACAGCCTTCCTTGCTGTTTTGCTGCGTTCAGCAATGGTGGGTTGATTTCATTGTTTGTCAGCCATATTTTTGTTTTCTGTTTTCCGCTCAGGTTCATAGAAATGTAGCAAAGTTTTAACTCCAGTAACAATTTCATGTCGACGTATTTTATCCCATTTTCCGTTAATTTTCAAAAGTTTTGAGAATTGTGCAATAGCATCCTTTTTTGCCTGTCATTTGAAATATGTGGGATCCACCTCGAAGATACTTTCCTGACTTCTTAAATTTCTCTAAAAATTTTACAAAAGTTACCCGATGAAATGTTCAGTTTCTTGGCGATCTGGTTGGCGGTTACCCTGCCCTCTCTGTCGATAATACTTTTACTGCTGCTGCTGATTTTACATTGATAACTGATTTCCGCCTTCCTGAATGTTTAATATTTTCATCTGCATCCCTGCCAAGTTTGAAATGCTTTATCCACTGATAAACGGTTTTGATAGGTACAACAGTTTTCATTTAGTGACACGAATTGTTTGAAAATTCATTATTACGTTATATTTATTAGAAAACTATATTTGGTATACAATCTGATATTCAATATGATCTTTCGGGACTTTCCATCTATCTTCATGTTAACAGTGTCCAGAGAGTGGGTCCGAAAAAGATACTCACTTCCGCTCCAGCCCGGGGTTGAACTCTCGACCTACGGAATCTGTCTCCTAGCAGTACAGGAACAGCGCGTTAGACCGCTCGGCTATCTAGGCAAGTTAAAAAACTTGCTTTCGATGCCGATGGAATTCTCACAACGCTGTCCTACACTACACGGTCATTGAGAATGGAAGTGAGATACAGTTATTTGGACATTAGTTTTTAGAGGATTGTTACCAATACATGTTGTGATGAAATTAATTTTATTTATAAAGCACAAATTACAACAACTTTGAAACTAATATAACTGCCCTAAGTGAAGGAATATTAATATAGAAAGCAAAGAGAAATTAACTTTTACAAGGATATATATATATATATATATATATATATATATATATATATATATATATATATATATATATATATATAAATCCAAATTCAAATGATAAACTCGATCTTTTATCTAAAGCGCTTTCGCCCCATGCGGGCTCATCAGTAGATTTGAAATTCAAATTTGTCGATGCTATTTAAAGAAATAGTATAAAATCAAATTAGAACGAATATATAATTACATGGACGAGTTAGCAAGTGCTGAACGTAATCAATCTCACAATTTTATCGCAGGTAAGCTTCCGTAAGAAATCTATATCATAGAAATATTTCATAACTCTTTTTCAGCTTTTTGCAGCAATAAATATTGCAGTTTTGAGCAAACATACCCTTAATAGACAATAAATCTTAAAAGGATGTGAAAATATTCTTGCATTTTATCTTTTATTCAGAGCAAACACGAGAACAGAAGTTAAAGGAATGAAAATTCCCAAGTACAGTAATATATTTATTACTAGAAGGAGTAATAATCCCCTATTATAGTAATACTTCCCCGAAAAAAGGAACTGTGCTCAAATTGCTTAATTTACTAGTAATTTTCACTTTGTCATTTAAATGCATCATAAGATTTAATTATAACTGATGACTTTGCCAAGGTTTTTTCGGATTTTTTTTTTACAAAAGCCATACCGATGGAATAACATGCCTTTAGGTGAAATATACAGAGATACTGAACATTATTCGAGCTAAGAGTCCATTAAACATCACAAAATAGGAGCGGAGCAAACATGGATCCTCAAAACACTATTTACGATAATATGCCTGATCAAACATAGAGAGTACATTTAGTGTAACCGGTCTGCAGGGGATGCTTACTCCTCCTAGGTACCTGCAAGCTGGTCCAATCCCTTGAATTTTCAGGGGTCAGCATTTTTGCCCAGTTTTGTTGGTAGAATTTTTTTTATTGTTATCTTCACTTCTTTCATAATGTTGTTTGGAGCTACACTTTTGATGTCAATATGTATAACAAAAAAAAAAAAAAAAAAAATCATCCCTAAATGAAAGGTAAAATAAATTTTTCAGTATAGAATTTTTAAGTATGCGATGATGTAGTGTTTTACACTTATATAACTGAAAACTTATATGTTTCTAGGCATCTGTAATCTAGGAAAACTACAAAAAGAAACTGCATCAATGTCATCTGTATATTCGTATGACGATATTGCTTTGATTGCTGCGAAGGCATTAAATGGGAAGTTCCGTGACCATAGAAATGGTGATTGTGCTGGTACAAATGTGGTAGAACGTTATGACCATGCATGGTGGAATATAATGCTGCCACCTATGAGTATAATTCACAAAATAAACATCATTTTCAGAGAAAACTGTAAGTATTTTCGTTAAAAAACAATGTTTTAAAAGGGATATGCTAAAATTTAAAGCATATTAATGTAGTAAAAATGTTTACATGTACGTCCTTTGAAATATTTTGCTACCCGCTCGTATTACACATATGTGATGCACACCTTTATAAAAACATGTTGTTTGAGACATATTGCATTCTTTTGAAATATGTCAAAAAGCAATCACACATTTGTTAGTAAAAAAATTTCATGCTATAGACTTTTTGATTTGTTTTGAAAATAAGACAAAAGGAATATGAAATACATTAACAAATAACTTTTAAGTGTCAAAATCACTCAGAGAATAAAAAATGGCACTCTTTTTATATTTTATGTCTAAATAATTTATTCTGTTCATTCTGACTTGAAATGGATTTTGTTTGCATAATTGTTTGTTGTTTAACGCTCCTCTCGAGAACTTTTCACTTATATGGAGACGCCAATATACAATTATGGACTGTTTAGAAGGGAGATATCACCAATTATCAGGTCTGAGTAGGGTTATCACCCGAGGGCGCTTGCACTCGTGGGTGACAACCCTACTCAGACCTGATAATTGGTGATGTCTCCCTTCTAAACAGTCCATAATAGTTTTATTATCCTGAAGAATATACAACTTTCAATTAGATAGAGTAGAAAATAGTAATCAAACCTCTTATTTTCTTCTACGCTGCTCCGATCCAAACTTTCAAAATATGTCAACAGTCAACTTTGACGTCACCGTTAGAATTTATTGTTTACCGATCCCGCATATTTAGCCATTATACTTATAAATAGGAGTTATCTCGCTTAAACCACTACAAACTTCCGCCAGAGTTCGTTTGTACCAACTCTTTGTGTGCGAAGACCCAGAGGACTATGGGAGTATGAAACCACTGTAGTTTTATTCAAAGAGCGACAACACAGTTGTAACCCTGCATGCTCGCTTACGCTATTTCATTGTTATCTGAAGGGAGATTACAGTTGTCACCCTGTGCGTGAGGGAGACATCACGAGTTGTCTCCCCGAACGTGGCCTGCTCTAACCAATCAGATTGTCTGTATAATTCTGAAGGATAATAACATGAAATAAGAATAGAAAACAAAAATGGATTAAAGGGACATGGACACAGGTTCAACTGAAATTAAAAAAAAAAATCAATTTTATTGTTTTATAATTCCTAGCTAATACAATTCTAATGATTTATAGCAAACATTTGAACATCATTTGTTGGTTTACAAAGGAGATTTCAAACAGAAATATCCTTCATAATATAAACAAGACTTCGCCTTGTTTATTATATAAAAAACATAGAAAAAGATATAATATTGTAAACATAAAGAGATTCATCAAATCACTCGAGTCGCCCGCGTTACGCAGTGGTTAGAGCGTCTGCTCAAGAGTCGCGAAGTAGAGGTTAATCCTTCGTCGTGGGTTCGAATCCCACTGTGGGACGTGGAGACTGGTCCATCGGATGAGACCCTATAAACCAAGACCCCGTGTCGCTGTAGGCGTTGGCACAAAAAACATCCCTCCCTGCTCAATGGCCCTGAGTGCTGAACATAGGACAAAATTTGCAGCTCTCCACCGGCAAGTGGTGGCGTCTCCATATGAGTGAAAAATTCTCGAGAGGGACGTTTATCAACAATCAATCAATTAATCAATCAAATCACTAGAAACTTTTTGAGCTAATTTCTTTATTGAAAAAAATCTGCTTTGAACAAACATTTACTAATTAACATACTAATTAACAAAATGGCACTTGCCCTGTCTACATAACAAAAGTTTGAAGCTCTAAATCTGTCTTTATATATCTCAAGAACTAAAATTCAAATTTTTGATAATCATAAGAAAAACCTTAAATATCTGTAAACATGAAAAATGGAATAATAAATTTGAAATTTTTAACTGAAACCGTGGCCATGTCCCCTTAAAGGAACAAAGGAAAAACTTTGATAGTCCTCCAATTGATAAACTATTTATTTTTAATATATTTAGACACTCGACATTATGGTTACTACGTATACCTCAATAAGGAACCTGTTGATATCAGTGGTCTTGCCAGTCTACCTGCCGTGTATCGTGGACAAACGGAACACCCCAGTACACAGAACGTCATCCTCTTCCCGGAAGGACACCAAGGGGAGCAGATGTACATTTATCTAAACAAATCTAAACCTGAAGATACCGACGGTGATGAAGATAACAACGTCCTTGATGTCTGTGAAGTAGAAATACTAGGTACACAATCTTTTTTTGAAATCCCTCTCTTTATCTCATTATCAGTATTAAAAACTAGAGGCACTGTGAGCAATGAGCTCACTAAATGATTCCCCGTGCCTCCCATATGGATAGAATGGCAATGTCCATCTTTTGATATGGAAAACCTAAAAATATGTATCGGATCAAAAAGTAAAATGGGAGGTGCACAATGGCAACAAGTAATAGAGATTCTTTGAAAGTTTTATCAAATTTTATTCCGTGGTAAAAGAGTAGTTGTGGATAAGAGACGGGTACCCCAAAAGGTAACAGACGGACGGACATACCTATTACTATATACCCTCCCGCTTTTCAAGTCTGGGTAAAATGAAATATGGAGAAAACGAAGAGCAATCAAGATAAAGAGTCCATTAAAAAGATACAAATTGGGGTCGAGAAAATGCAGACTCTAAAGGCAACGAGAACTAAGATTAGGCGGCATGAAAGGGTAAGCTCCCATGTAGATTAATCGTTCCCTCCTTGCGCCCCTTGTCATGATCGGGAAAACAGAAATATCCGTAGAAAATTCAGTGTCTAAATATCCTTACAATAAGTATGAAAATAGTCAGTCAGTATTCGACTTACTGATGGCTTGTATTTTCTAACAACATCATTGCATCGACCATAGAACGGGCGAAATAATGGAGACTTTTTAAATCCTTGATTAATTAAATTGTTTGTCTGTCGATATATACCAGCATTCGAAATAATAAACTCGAAATCGAAACTATACAGTGGAACGACTTTCCACAATTATTTCATATTTAAATACCTAAGTATTTTATTTATCAAAGAAGATAGTGGTAAGCCTATAACTTAACTACATCATTCTTGAGTATATAACAATCAGAATAAGTTCTGATTTTTCATCCTCAAATAATTTCTATATTTATGGAGAAATAGCCAAACATCCTCTGAACATGGTGTTTATTACTTTAAACTGATTCTATACGATGTTCATGCACTTAATGCAATTCATGTTTAAAACCAGGCAAACTACTGACAAATATTTTATGCAAAAAAGAATTTTAACAGCTCCATTAAGTCAACTTTTGCCATTCTCTACGACCTCTATAAGGAGATTAATTTAAGGGGGCCGACTATAGCTTCCATTGCGCAATATTTCGCGCATCATAGTAAAATGAAGCGTATTTACTGTTTTAACGCAACTTTTTTCACTTAATTATTAAAATTAAACAAAATTAAGAAAATATAGGTATAAAAATGTATTACAGTTTGATATATAACTGATTTTTAACCGATTTTGCAATTGATAGGTAGGTTGACGTCATTGCAGTGTGTTTTTGACGTTATAATAATCTGTAGCTTTTAAAGAAAGGGGCAATAAAATATTACTAAAGAAAAAGTAATAAACATATGCTCTTGAAATTTAAAACATAGAAATTTGAGAATATCTTCCATATTTGTAGCTCACCTGAGCCGAAGGCTCAAGTGAGCTTTTCTGATCAAAATTTGTCCGTTGTCTGTTGTCGTCGTTGTCGTTGTCGTCGTAAACTTTTCACATTTTCATCTTCTTCTCAAGAACCACTGGGCCAATTTCAACCAAACTTGGCACAAAGTATCCTTGGGTAAAGGGGATTCGAGTTTGTTCAAATGAAGGGCCACGCCCTTTTCCAAGGGGAGATAATTATGATTTAGAGAAAAATTATTGGCATTTTAAAAAAATCTTCTCCTCAAGAACCACTGGGCTAGGAAAGATGAAACTCATGTGGAATCATCCTCAGGTAGTGTAGATTCAAGTTTGTTCAAGTCATGACCCCCGGGGGTAGGGCGAGGCCAAAATGGCCGATCAAAGTTTTACATAGGAATATATAGGAAAAATCTTTAAAAATCTTCTTCTCAAGAACCATTGAAACAGGAAAGATGAAACTCATGTGGAATCATCCTCCGGTAGTGTAGATTCAAGTTTGTTCAAGTCATGACCCCCGGGGGTAGGGCGGGGCCAAAATGGCCGATCAAAGTTTTACATAGGAATATATAGGAAAAATCTTTAAAAATCTTCTTCTCAAGAACCACTGGGCCAGGAAAGATGAAACTCATGTGGAATCATCCTCAGGTAAAATGGATTCAAGTTTGTTCAAGTCATGACCCCTGGGGGTAGGGCGGGGCCAAAATGGCCGATCAAAATTTTACATAGGAATATATAGGAAAAATCTTTAAAAATCTTCTTCTCAAGAACCACTGGGCCAGAAAAAATGAAACTCATGTGGAATCATCCTCAGGTAGAATAGATTCAAGTTTGTTCAAGTCATGATCCCCGGGGGTAGGGCGGGGCCAAAATGGCCGATCAAATTTTTACATAGGAATATATAGGAAAAATCTTTAAAAATCTTCTTCTGAAGAACCACTGGGCCAGAAAAAATGAAACTCATGTGGAATCATCCTCAGGTAGAGTAGATTCAGGTTTGTTCAAATCATGACCCCTGGGGTAGGGCGGGGCCAAAATGGCCGATTAAAGTTTCACATAGGAATATATAGGAAAAATCTTTAAAAATCTTCTTCTCAAGAACCACTGGGCCAGAAAAAATGAAACTCATGTGGCATCATCCTCAGGTAGAGTAGATTCAAGTTTGTTCAAGTCATGACCCCCGGGGGTAGGGCGGGGCCAAAATGGCCGATCAAATTTCTACATAGGAATATATAGGAAAAAACTTAAAAAATCTTCTTCTCAAGAACCATTGAAACAGGAAAGATGAAACTCATGTGGAATCATCCTCAGGTAGTGTAGATTCAAGTTTGTTCAAGTCATGACCCCCGAGGGTAGGGCGGGACCAAAATGGCCGATCAAAATTTTACATAGGAATATATAAGAAAAATCTTTTTCTCAAGAACCACTGAAACAGGAAAGATAAAACTCATGTGAAATTATCCTCAGGTAGTGTAGATTCAAGTTTGTTCAAGTCATGACCCCGGGGTAAGGGTGTGGCCAAAATGGCCGACCAAAGTTTCACATAGAAATATATAGGGAAACATTTTTAAATCTTCTTTTCAAGTACTTCAAAGCCAGGATTAGTAATATTTGTATGAATCATCCTCAGGTAATGTAGATTCTAGTTCGTTCAAATCATGATCCCCTTGGGGGTTAAAATTCAAGCCCCCCCAACTTAAATTAACTTTCAGTTCTGATCTGATATGTGTTTTTTTCCTAGCTGATGTGCTCAGGTGAGCGCTGTGGCCCCTGGGCCCCTTGTTTATTATATGTTTTCATTTTAATCCATTGTGAACGTCATATTTTGTAATACTCTATAAAAATGGTACAATTTGCTAATTTTTTGCATTTTGAGATGCCCCCTCTGGTAACAAGACGGTAGAATTTTGTGTTTCTTACATATATTGTATTATATAGTATTACTCATCAAATATTATAGTTTGAACAAAATCTCCATTGTGGTATTTTTAAAATTTGCTTTAAAGTGCTAAAAATTGTCATTTTCCTATCATCCTATAGTAAATGTACCTTTATTTTGAGACGGTCCCTCAAAAATACCTGGACGGTCGATTTCCTCCAAACTTTGCATGTACACTGAAGTTAATGTAAGTTATATATGGTATAAAAATGAGTTTTGCCATTGTAGTTTTCACACAATAAAACTATAGTCGGCCCCCTTAAGACCTATTATTTGGTAATATATAGGATCCTTTTATTTGATCAATTTTGACAGACATGTTTACAACATTGTTGGGTTATTACTAGAATTTAAAATTTACAACATAGTCGTCCGTCCACCTGACCAGTACAATGTGTTTACGGCAGTTGTGACCCTTTGACATGGGATTTTCTCTCCTCTTAGGTATCTAATCCTTGCTCTGAGGTTTTCAGGGCTTCGTGTTTATACCCTTTACCATTTGGGCTTTATGGAATGGATCTCGTGACCAACTCGTATTCCTAGAGTGATAAATGTTTTAAAATTACACCTCATTTCTTACTTATTACACATATGTTTATATGGTGGGGTCTTTTCTACATTTTGCATAATTATTGTACATTAAACTACATTAAATACACTATTAACATGATTAATGTATGTATTTATTGCACTGTCAATTCTGGCGCTATGCAATAACTTGTATTCTTAAAATATAATTGAGTATAGGTTGTGTAAACAAAGAAAGTAAAGGTTACCAAGAAATAGGATGCGCATGCCCGGAGCAGGAGGAATATCCAGCTGGTGAGTCGCCCCTGAAGAATTTTTAGCGTGGAGCTTTATTCTCCAGAAGTTATTTTTTGAATAAAATAGCATGCTAATTAAAATTATTTTTTCAGAAATTCACGAATACAGCAATCTTAGCAGTAACAATTTTAAAAAAAATGATATATGTTATTTTTTGTCCAGATGCTTTGAAGACGGAGATCGCTTTTCGCAACAAAAACAACTCTATCACTATTCAGTGCTACTCGAAATATATCGTTATACTAAATGTATCAAGTCTTCAAGAGGAATGTAACTTTAAAAGGAAATGCACAAAAAATACTATAGATATCGACCATACTATATTTTTCCAATGTTCTGGTGAGTATGTCGGGACTATTAAGAATGGTTAACTTCATATTTAAGAAATTAATTGATAGAAATAACGTATGGTCATCTTTATCGGAGGTGATGTTCTACAATTATGAATTCATGAGTCAAATGCTGACTGTCTATTTTTGATAGTCATTGTTAAGCAACTATTTACAAACTGAATGAATTGCACGTCGACGAATTGTTCCGTTATTTCCCGAGCATAACAGAGAACACACTGCAGATATGACGAGTCGGCAGGGGATGCTCATTCCTCCACGGTATTTCTGATGTTTTGAGGTCTGTGTTTGTTCTGCTTCTGATCTTCATTAACTGAACTTCTGAAAACTGTTTGTTATTCCCGTATATTTCAATTCTTGCGCTTTTAAATGCCCATAAATCGGGAAAGAATTTTAAACTAGAATCAATATTTCCTCTTTTATAGTATATTCTGTATTATATGCTGATTTAGAAATGTTACTCCTATATTATAGTCATCGTATACTGGTAAAGGGTTTTAAATTTAGACTTTTACTCGATATTTGACA